CTCTATGGGTTGTTTTTGTTGGGGAGATTTGGGTCAAGCACATTGCGTGCTGTCATGGCGTGTTTATGGGTGTGTTCAGAATGCGTCCACTTTAGGTGAAACTCTATGGGTTGTTTTTGTTGGGGAGATTTGGGCATGGAGGCTTTTGGTGCTGCTTCAAGATCCATGTCTATGGACAGCTCTTTTCTTTCCCCATCTGTTGTGGCGGTAGAGTGTTTGCTGTTTCCTGTTTTCAGTTCAGGGCACCTTCTTCTCGACCGCACGGACATGGGAAGGCTCACACATCTTTTGTTATGGAGATCTACGGGTAGGTACCATTTTCTTTTTCTGCCGTGGAGTCGTCACGAGCAAGGCGCCGGCAGGCCCTTCGGTCTTAGTCCCCTTAGAATCGACTCGCCATGGGCTGTCTTTTTCAGAGCCCATGGTTCACCAGGGTGTGTCAAGAGGAGTGGTATTCCTGGTGTTTCATGCCTGTCTCATGAATGTCGAACGTTCTTCATCCAGGACAGATCCACACTCATTCTGACCAGTCGGAACCGCGATTTATGTTTAGATCGGTAATACTCCATGCGCAGGGGCTCTGGGGTATAAATGGGGTTTAAAGGGTTATAAAAAGGGTCACCTTAATTTCTTGCCTCAGTGTTTGGCCAGAAACAGAGTAGGGTGCATACAGTGTTTGGCCAGAAACAGAGGAGTAGGTTGCACAGGGTATTTGGCTGGAAATTGCCGTCTTCGCCCGAAAATAACACCCAGGCGTTATATTCGACTCGCCCTAAAAAAATTGGGTTTCTTTTTCCTCACCTTTGTTCAAATATAACGGCCTTCTGAATATAACACCCGCTTTCGTTCGAATACAACACCCAGTCGTTATGTTTGAAAGTGGTATGCGCAGAGTGCCCGGGGGGGGTGGGGGGGGGGTGGGTATACATGGGGTTTAAAGGGGGTTGAAGGGTGTGTTGACTTCAAACTTCAAAGGTGCGTTTTGGTTTGAATTTTCTATTTTCTTTTTCGGTCTTCGAATTTATAAAGAATTCTGAAGTGACCCTCAGCAAAAAGTTGGTTGCATTGCAATTCTAGACAACATGAAAATCAACTTGATGTCTCTGCGATAGGTTAATACAGGTCACAGGACTAAAGGTTTATAATACTTCACTTAAGGTGTGCACACTGAGTCCGGAACGAGTGCAAGGGGCATAGGCTGGCGCTCAGGGCCTGTACTGTCCAGGCGCAACAGTGAAGACAGGAGCAGAGATGGAGAACCGTGCTCTATTCTTTGAGGTTAGAAGCTGGCAAGGTTGCTATCTCACTGATCGGCAGGCGAAGTAGACGCAAGCTCAGCAGAACGATAGGAGGCCAAAGGGATAGCAATAATTAATCCTGCCCCAAAGCCCTTGACACAGTCTAATACTCTTGCCCTTTTCAGTTCTAGAAACACAAAGTTAATGCAGGAGGCCGGAGGGGCAGAGAGAAAGTGTCTAGGAGATTCACACACAGGGGTTGAGCAGTCGTAAATCCTCCTGTTAAAGGAGCAATTATTGCTGCGGTTTCGGGTCCTTCAGCCATAATTGAAAGGAAGCATGGCGTGTGTGTCAGATGCAAGGGATGCTGGGCCTGGTTTCCAGCGACATGATGGAAAATGTTTCAAAACAAAAAAGAATCTGTGACTGTTGTGCTGCTTTGTGCGTTATAGTAAGTTAATACTCAACCTCCACGTCAAGTTGTTCGAATGAATCTGTGACTATTTTGTACACAAGTTTGTTTCTAGTACGTTCTACTTTAATAGAATATTTAACCTTAACGTCGGCTTGTTTGAATGAATCTGTACCTGTTTTGCAGTATGTTCAACCTCAGGATAACCAGAAGCTGTCTCAAGCTGAGCTCGTTGTCATTGACGAAGCTGCAGCAATCCCGCTGCCGGTGGTGAAAGCTCTTCTTGGTCCCTACCTTGTGTTCTTGTCCTCGACAGTGAACGGGTTAGTATCACTTAGAAACTTAGTGCATGTTCTGCTTCTGATCTCCCTGTTCCCTATTGCGGCCTTGTTACAGTAGATGGGTTGGTAGCTTAGTGCATGTTCTGGTTCTGATGTCCCTGTTGCATATCACCGCCTCATTAGGAGTGCAGTCGACACTACAAAGAAACTCGTGTTCCTGTTGTCGACAGTGAGTGGGTTCGAAAAGCTTAGTGCATGTTCCATTTGTGTGATTTCCCTGTTCCGTATCTCTGCCTTTTTAAGAGTGCAGTCAACAGCACAAGGAAACACGAGTTCCCAGTCATTTTCTTGGCCTCTTGAGGCTGAGGTCGCCAGTTTGAATCCGTGCGTGGACGGAAGAGGTCCGAGGCTGATAAAAGTACAGAGTCTACAGACTCTTTGTATGCGCTCCACTTGTTAATGATCTGTCATGCTGAGACGTTGTTCAATGACAGCAAACTGTAGAAATCTAAGTTATTTGCTGCTACAAAGTGGTTGTACGCAAGCATTTTCTAAGCGGTGGAAAAACGGGGCCGGGGGTGGCAGGGAGGTGGTAAGCGTGGAGAGGAGGAGAAGAGAGAGGAAAGGATGGGCAATCTGGTAAAGACGTCTCACGGTGAGGAACATAGCCAAGACGACATGCCTGTGTAAAGTTGGCTCATTCCATAAAGGCCTCAGCTGCTAAGAAATGCGACGCATGTGAAAGTTGTGGCAGTCAAACCTGTGCTGCCCCCTGGGTGGCCCAGACTGGCTCTGCATGCCTGGGTGCCCAACTGGGTGGGCCCAGCCAAGTGAGAGGTCCGGACAGGGTGCTGGGCACTCCCAGCGCAAAATATTAAAAGAACTGGGAAAAATAACAATGTGTAAAATTACTATACGAAGTATTACGAATGGCTTTTGGGTGTGGGCGGTCTCAAAATTCCTGACTAATTTCAAGATAAAAAAGAGAAAATGAGAGTTAAGATATACCGCTAACCCCCCCTGGGTGACCCGGCGTAGCAGTCGACACATTTTTTCGTTTCTCCTCTCCCTTCCCATCCCCTGATCTGTGCGCGCCTGCTGTTAGACTCGTAGAGTCTCTGACTGCCAAAAGGTTTCCCTGTTGTCCTTAGCGTATCGCAGATTTCTTAACCCACTCTATCTGATTGCGTTTTCCTACCCCCGCCTGCTGACGCATGCATGCCTGCTATTAGACTTGTAGAGTCTCTGACTGGGAAGAGGTTTCCCTGTGTTTGTCCTTTGGTTGTTGCAAATTTCTTAACCTTCAGCTATGAGGGAACTGGGAGATCTCTGTCCCTCAAGCTTATCCAACAGCTGAGGGAGCAAAGTGCCAAAGCTGGTGATCCTGCATCTGCTACAAATGGCGGTTCTGAAGCTGTGGTAGCTGGTTCAGGTACGTGTGAATTTTTCTTCCATCCACTTCTTATGCATGATGTAGTGGCAGATAGGGCCATACCCACCCACCTCCACTGACTCAGCTGTTCTCATGCCCTGCCAATCTCTCTCAATTGGGCTTTGCTGTAGACCCTGATGCTCCATAGTGTGATTTGATCTGTCACTGAATATTTTGTGTTGTTTTTCCTCCTCAAGAGGGATGTAGCCCTTAAACCACCAGTACCTACCGGTTGGGGCGGTCTGCCCTCCGGTCCAGATTCATTCGAGGACGGGGGGTACGAAAAATGCGGTAGGTCTGGTGGTTTAACATCGTCATGGATTTCGGTGGATTTGAGCTTTTAACCTCTTCGTCAGGGTTGCACCCCTGCCGACCGCCGACCCCGACCGCCGACCCCGACCGCCGACCCCGACCGCCGACCGTATTGCAGCCGACCAGTAGGGGCGACCGGTCGGCGGTCTGCCGACCAGTGAGAAAACAACCATCCATTGATTTTTTTTCAAATCTGAGTTGGGGGCTGTACTGTGCTTGCCGAGTAGAGCCCAAATCCTCTGAGAAACTTTTTGGGATGGGGGAGGGGTATGGGGGGGTTGGGGTTGGAGCATACCTGCGGCGCAAGTGTGCTGGTCACCGATGCGCAAAAACAAAAAAAAGAAAAAAAAAAGACAAAAAAAGAAAAAAAAGAAGAAAAAATGGCTGTTATGTGTGAGAACACGCAAAAGATATATATATGACGATATATATACCTGGTTCCTGCTGTGACGAAGTTGCTTACCTGAATGGTTTTCGTCCTATAGATCAGCGGGAGGGCTGCTACCATCGCCCGCATCCTTATGATAGTTGTCCTATCTGTCGTGAGGGTCTTACTTAGATGTACCTTGCACCCTGACAAAAATGTGCAAGTGCGCTGAAAAGAGTGTACAAGAATGTGCAAAGGTGGGAAACCCTTCACTAAAACTGCAAAACAGTGAAGACTGCAGTAAAAGAAGAACATAAGTTTGTGT